CCTTTTTGAAATTGTTCCACAAGTCCTCTTGGCTTGTTTATTTTTCTACTTTTTCTTTCTTTCTTTTTCCAGATTGCATAGTTTATATTGACCTATCTTTAAGTTCTCTGAATGCCTTTGCATATTTTTTCCCCTAAAATTGGGTCATATTTTCTTCCTTCTTCATCAATATTTTAGATTGTATCCTGGACATTGTGAAAGTTATGTTGTGGAAATTCTGGAATTTTTTTTTCATTGCTCTGAGAAGTGTTTATGTTTTGTGTTAATGAGCAATTCACTTTGATGCAGACTGCAGTCTGTCATGCCTGCTGTGGACAGGGGCTTCTGTCTGGGTGCCTCCCTTAAACCTTAGCTCCTGCTGCTTTCAGTTTACCTTGTGCATTCATGATTCCCAGGGCAGCCTGAACAATCTTACTTTACACACAGAATTGGGGGTCAGCTTCTCTGTTTTCCCCCTACATTGTTCTCTAGTCACTCTCTGATTTCCCCAGGTACCTTCTCTGCTTCCCCTATTACAGAGTGTGTTTTCCTATCAAAGTTAAATCTGCTGCTCTGATTGTCTGATCTCAGTAATGCTGCAAAATAAATGTATAAATAAATAAGCCAGGGAGCTTGCTATCTGCTGCTTTCCTGCTCCAACTTTTGACTCATCTCCGAAGTCTACTTGCTTTAACTTGGTCTCCAGGCCCTCGGGTAGTTTTGTTTTGTTTTGGAGGGTTGGTATGTTGTATAGAGTTTTTAAAGACAAAATAATCAGTGTATTAGGAACTCATTCCTCCATATCAAAAGGAGAATGTCCCTTCCAATTAGTTTTTAATTGAAATCTTTATTGAGATAATTGTAAACTCATGCACTTGTAAGAAGTAATATACTAGAGCTCATTTGCCCTTTACCCATTTTCCTCCAATGGAAACATTTTGTAAAACTGTGCTATAATGTCACAACCAGAATGCTGACATTGATGCAGTCTATTGAACTTACTCAAATTTCCCCAGTTTTCCTTGTACTTGTGTGTGCGATTTAATTCTATACAATTTTACCATGTGTAGGTTTGTGTATCTACCACCAAAGCCTTCCAATTATTTTGAAAAGTGGAAGAAATGCTAGAGTTAGGAAGGCCTAAGTCTGGCCAAGCTTCCCACTGAAGATGATTTCATCGTATTGAGTCATTAGAACTGACATATACACAGTTAATGTTATTTTTTTATTAATCTCCTTTCCATGTTGTAAATGTGTTTGACTGCAAGAATCACTGTGTTTTCTAAATACCTTTAGCCACACCGTAGCCCCCAGTGCCTCCACACTGCAGAGATATCCAATTCGTGTTTAAAAAATAGAAATACATGTTGTCAAATAGAATCGAAAAGTAAGAATATTTTTGGTGTTCTCTACTTTTAAATTGAGACTAGTATTTTTCAAAGCTTTCATCCTTATTTTTGTTTTTACTTTTGAGTAGCATGTTATACTACATGAAAGAACTTTATACATGTTTGATCTTTTGAAGGGGGCATTGCTGCTTTTGATTTAAAAAAAAGTAATTAGGTGAACGTTTCCAGGTAGAGGTAATCTTCAAAGCTTGAAAAGACACATTTCCTTTTAACTGATATTTTGTAGACTCTCTACCCCTTCCATTTCTTGGTCTCTTTTAAGACAACCCTATGAAAGTCAGCTGTTTAGCACTTACTTCTGTCAGAGCCAGTGTTGGGTGGATGGAAAAATCCAGCTTTTTTCTAATGGACCACGGCAGTAGGCAGTCTTTTACTTGGTGTCTCGTATGCTCTCTGAAAAGAAAAATGTTAGCAGTGATTCACAAATTCTTTGGAGAGTAAACACACATAAAATTTCTGTATTTTCAAATAATCAGGGATAGGATTAGGAAGATAAAAATTATATCTTTCCTCTCATAGAGGATTTGAAATTAATGTTTTCTGCCTACCTTGGGAAGCTTTTTAAATCTTGGAAATTAAGTGTTGGACTGGCTCTGCTAGATCCATTGAAAGGAAAATGCCTCATGGAGTGTTGGTGGAGCCCACACAAGTGCTTGCTGCTGGGGCAGCTTTGACTTTGCAGGGACAATGGGAATTTTAGAAATGGCTTCTAGTCCCAGACAAGGACCCTGCATAGATGTGCGTATTCAAGGGACTTAAAATGCGCAGCCTCTATAGGAGAGATAGTAAGGACACCTTACATTGAATTAGCTGATTTGTGCATTCATTCACCCATCAGATATTTGTTGAGGGCCCACTGTATGCCAGGCATGTATATAAAATTATTCTATAACATAACTTCAAAGAGTCCATGTGGCTTATTGTGCATTCCCGCCATAAGGCATTCTGAAAAAAGCTTCAATCTTTAAATTGAGTTAAATTCTGTTAATTTTGTCACACATCATACCATACTCATCCCCGCTAATCCTCAGATTTTGGGACCCAGCTGGCCAGTAAATCAAGATGGGGAGTTGATGATAACATCACCCTTTGTGGGAAAGAAATATGCCATCCTCTGCTTCTCCGCTCCTGGAGGCAGAGGCCACGGATCTCTCTGACCCTCTCTGTGAAGTGGCAGTGAGACAATCCTGCCTCATCCCACTGAGGGAGGATTAAATGAGTTTGTGTGCTGGGCTCTGTAGATGTGGACTGTTGCTGAGACCATTGCTGCCTTCAGAGAGGCCACACACCCAGGGATGAGGGGAACACATGTTCATACCACCTGTACTGTGCTAAGGGTGAGCACTGCACTCTGGAGGGCCAGGAGGATGGAGAGGGGAGCTGGAAAGTTTTGGGTTCTCAGAGAAGGCCAGGTACAGATGAACAAGATCCCTAATGGCATTGTAGGTGTGGACTCTACCACCCTTGGCCTGATGATGGTCATTATTACAGTTTATGGTCCCAATGAGGAGACTTTAAAAAATTATTGTGGCAGTATATCAAACAGGGATGCTTTCGGCAGTAAAGGTGGTGCCATTAATAGCAATGCAAGGACAGCCTGACTGCAAGGGCAAACTGAGACCAGGGGTTACTGTGCATGAGACCCTTGTCTGTTTCTGTTGCCTGTCTTATTTCTGGTCTCTTCTTTTTTGCTTGGTGCTTTAGAATCTGTTGGCTGCACGTGGCTTGGCACAGCGTAGCGGGAGATGAGTAACTGGGTTCCTTGGCCCAGAAAGGCCCAGAGTGGAAATGCTGTGATACAAAAACACGCACATGGCTCCCGTCAGGGAGTTTTACAGAGAGACTCTGTGACATTATGTTTTAACATATGTTAAATGTTTAACATTGTGTTTAAGCACATGGGTTTGTATACACATGCCATTTATATACATATGTAGTTATTATAATTTTTTACATTTGAGGATATTGAGGCTCAGAGAGAGTAATTTCTGCCGTGAGGTTGCCACAGCCAGGTAGTAGCGGAGATGGCTCCCACCTGGCCTTGGACGTTGCTTTAGAACTCTATTTACTGAGCATGACATTTATTTCATAACTTTGGTTGTCAAAATGGAATGTTTCGTGATCAAGAGATATGCCACCTTTACAGTGCTATGGCACTAGTTCTCAAAATGTGGAGAAGAGTTTTTAAAAAGTACTTTGAAGCTTAAAAGTGAAATAGGAGAGAGGTATAAAACATGGTATTGTGTAGGAGATACTAGAAGAACCTTTTTCAATGCTTTTGTAAGGTGCTGGAAAATGAGAGCAAAGTTGAGGAAGTTGCTTTCGAAGAGATTCTGTAGAGTGGAATTCTTGACTCTCTTAAATTTCTGCTTTGTTTATCATCTATAACCTCATCAACAATTGTTATGAAACACTTCATTTAAGATTTGCTTGTGATCTGTTTTGCACATTTATCCCTTGTTGCCCTTGGCCAACATTAAATTCACCTTACTGATACTTTTGTATTACATTACATTATTAAATTATTTTGTATTAGTAGAATGTGTTAAATGCCACTACCAAAAGGAACAATTACAGAGCCTTATTTCTTGAACATTTAGTACAAAACAGCCCTTAAATTTGTAAATACTTTCTCTTTTCATTTTTTTAAAAGATTTTACTCACTTATTTTTGAGAGATGAGGAGGGAAGGAGAAAGAGATGGGGAGAAACATCCATTGGTTGCCTTTTTGTGCATGCCCTGACTGGGGACTGAACCCACAGCACAGGCATGTGTGCTGCCTGGGAATCAAATCCACGACCTTTTGCTTTGTAGGACAATGCCCAACCAACTGAGCCACACTGGCCAGGGCAATCAGTACCATTTCTTTTTAAAAAGGTTTTAGGCACATGTCACCGGCCTTTGGGGCCCCATGCCCTGTGCCTATACTTCTTTCATACCTTACACAGCAAACATGAAGCTGAGGCTTCCCGTTCTTGACATAGTCACCTGCTGCTGGTGCTCGTAATCATTTCAGACTTCTCAGCTTGACTGGGACATCATGCTGTTTGACACCCTTCATTACTCCTTATGAGAAAGATGCAAATAACCATAAAGCAGAAAATATTAAGAAGCCATAAAGAGTTGGAACTGAATATAGAATGCTTTGATTACAGAAACAAAGACAGTCAGTCTATTTTATGACTAGGATGATCAAAAGCACACCCTCTGCATGTGTAATCACATGCTTAGTAAACACTGTCTCGTAGGGAAAGTATAACATTGACTAGTGCTACGCAGGTGTCAGTAGGAAAGCTATAAATGATACCATTCCAAAAGTCATGATTTGTTTTGCTGGTTATATCTCACACACTGATGTTTGTCATTTAATTGTCTGTTCAGTCTCATTAGAACTTGAGGGTCAAGAGTTTTAACTGTTTTAAAAGGGTTTTCTCCTGCTCCTTCTGTGGGACTGAAGGAGAGAAAAACTATTAAATCAGTTGTGCATTTACCAGTGTGAGTGCTGGCGATGTCCATCCAATAAAATTGTATTTTGGAGGCAAATTGAGTAACGTGTAACAGGTGACCTTAAGGACAGCTATAGAAAGAATAACTTAGGACTTTTTTTTTTAGGTTTGTGGCCAAACCATGTGCGATAGCCCTCAACATTCAGGTCAACGGACCACAGATTGCCCAGCCAAATGCCATCCTGGAAAAGGTCTTCACTGCGATTACAAAGGTATGATTTTCCTTTCCTGGGATGTGACTTGTCATGACCACAATTAGCAATCTGAACTCATTCGATACCTTCTCACCTGGGTGTGGGAACTAACTTTCGAGTACCCCATCCTGCAAAGTGTGCCCTTGGAGGGTGCAGGCACTGTGACTAGACCAAAATAAGTAGAAGCTGGATAAATGTGGGCTTGTTCAAAACCTGTTTGTTTACTCTCAAATTCAGAGAAGAAGCTTGTCTGTGGGAACAGTGTAAATTAGTGATTAGTCTAACCCTGTGCCTCTTTTAATCTCGTGTGACATGAAACAGTATGTCTAACAGTCAGGTGGGACATTGCGGAGGCCACTGAGTGGAACAGAGGGATGTAATTAAGGTGTATGCATAAAAAGTGCGCGTTTGCTTATAGCATCGTTTGTGCTCTAGCGGTTGTGGTACTTACGCGACTGTGAACCAAGAGGAATATTTGAAGGCAAAAATGGTTGCAACATGAAGGGAAGAAGGACAAGGGTGTGGAAAGTTAAGAGTTGTAGATTCACTGTGGAGAAAATAGAAGAAGAGACTGTCCCTCCGGTGAGAGTTAAAGTCCAAACCAGGCATGGGAAGAGGAAAGCAGGGGAGGGAGAAGAGATAGGGAGAGGTTGCCCCCCGCCCATACCTCCCTAGGAACAAAGAGGGGAGGAGAAATTTCTGACTGAATTTAGGAACCTTCAATCAAAAGCCACAAGAAACTAAAGCAAATCACAGCATCCCAATATCTTATTCTTGCTCTTATCTATCTCTCTGATCTTACTCTTGCATGGACAAAATGTAGAAAAAACAGAAGTGTATTGTTTTGTGAGAAGTACTGTGAGAAGTATCCTGTGTTTGTATAGTAAATGGTTAATTTGTGTGTTTGCATAGCACATGGTTCCCTCTTTCAATTTCCTGGGAGAATTATTCAGGCTTTTAAGATATGATTTGACACTGTTAAGCAAATTTTATTCTTTTTTTGATATCAGCATTGCTTACCATTTGTATTTCTCTTGTCTTAATACTATTAATTCAGATATTTGAACATTATTGTTTATTTTATGGTCTTTGTTTCTGCCAAGATTCTCTACGATTTTTATATGCTTTTAAATATGATATTTTTTCCTGGAAAAGAAAAAGCACCAGGTGTTTTTTTTAATTGTTGTTTTTTTTTTGGTTTGTTTGTTTGTTTGTTTTTACATTTCTGCTAGGAAGAAGAGAAGAATGAATGGAATTTTAGGAAAATCTCTTTGGTAGTTTTAGATTGCCAGGTTATAACTTTAAGGGACACTTATTTTATGGTTTTTAACGGAAGAAAAGTATTATTAAGAAAAAAACTTGCATTTTCACTTACCATATCAATTTACTGCAGTAAAACACGTTTCCACTCCTAAAGTTGCTGTTGTGGAGGAAGTTATCTGGTTCACTTCTTAAGGTGATTACAACATATTTTTATTTTCCTTACGAACTGACGTAAATGTATAATAAATTGAGTTTTCTACCCAAATGGTCTGCTTCCCTTTAGAAATCCTGTAGTGGCCATTTTATTTCCCTTGGCTTGGGTTCATTATGGTTACTGGGGAAATTCCCTCTGTAAGGAATGAAAGGATTTTGTAGTCAGGTTAACAGCTCTGGAGCATACTTGTTTGTAGTTCATTTTAATGATCATATTCTCTTAGCTTCCAAGGTGATTCTTTTGGAAGTTTTTACATGATTAAAGCAGAAGCCTCATGTTTTAAATATAAATGCAGCAAAAGTTGTAACTGTTTGTCCTGGAACTCTTTGTAGTTCTCCAGTGTTATTTGTGATATGAGCAAGTAGTGTGTTGTCTGGAATAGAAGTAGTAGGACTTGGAGAGTTGGAATGTGCGTATGTGTACATGCATGTGTACACATGTGTATATGTGTGTTTGAGTGGTTATTTAACATCCTGCCCTTGACCGTGGTCCCAGGTCAAGGATATGTACAGGGGTGGACAAATGCAGGTTTCAAGTTCTTCACATGGAAAAATACATGCAGGTAATGATTAGTAGAATAGCTTTATTAACTCAAAAGAATGTCACAGGTACAGCGAACTTAGGTACAATCTTGTAAGTGTTCAAATTACTGGCCTTCATTACAAAATAATAAGAATAATAAAATAAATATAAATAAACTATACAGTGATTAATAAATAAATAATAATACAAGAATAAACTGTGTGTTTCATTTACTGTAAATCTACCTTTGCCTGCCCCTGTGTGCGTGTGTGTGTCTATATACTTTTGGGATCTTCCTGCCATGTCCAACATCCTCACTTTTCTAATCAAATCAATTTTTGAGCCATTGAGGATAGACTATATGTCAGCCATGAAACCAGGTTGAATGATGCAAACAAATCATATCACAGTCTACTTTTGGCATGTTATTCTGTTTTAATTTAACGTCCTATGGTTTATTCTCTCTCATTTACCCCTTATTTCTGTCCTTATTTTTCCTTTTTATTCCTTTTTCCCTTTTTAGTGCTGGTTATGATTACTAAAATTAACCTAGGTATTTCTGGTATAAAATTGTCTCTGTAAGTCAGCATTCTTCATTTATTTTCATGGAGATATTTAAAAAGGAAAAAAAATCCTACCAAGTACAATTAAAAAACACAATACTAAAAATATACACACACAAAGAAGGAAAATCTCCCAATCTTTATTTTTGGCAAACTAGGAGATAACATATCTTTAGATTTCAAAATACACATAAAAGCTGAGAAACAGCAGCTGGGGTTGAGCAGACGCCAAGTAGCAGGAAGTGAAAAGCATGAAGTGTGGATGGAGGGCCCAGTGGGGGTAGATTTCAGGAAAGCCAGCAGAAAATACAGCCCTTGAAGGTAAGACAAAGCTCTCTCCACAGTGTTTGCACCACTAGGCACAGGAACTGGGGAGCAGGGCTGGCAGATGTCATGTGGACTCCCTTCAATTCAGGGAGGTGGAAGAAGTGCACAGAAAGCCACATGGATGGCACTTTTTCAGGAGTTAGTCTACCTTGGTGGCAACTAAACTGCGACAGCATTCTCTCTGGTCCTCACACTACCAGGAGCTAGTCAAGAAAATCCATATCCCTCAGCGATGAGTAATGAAGAAGGAATGAAGAAGGAATGAAGAAGGAATGAAGGAATGAAGAAGGAATGAAGGAAAAATGAAGGAATGAAGAAGGAATGAAGGAATGAAGAAGGAATGAGGAAGGAATGAAGAAGGAATGAAGGAAAAATGAAGGAATGAAGAAGGAATGAGGAAGGAATGAGGAAGGAATGCACATAGCACAAAAGACAAGGGGAAGAATGTGTAGCAGTGCTTATGAACCAAGAATTGTTGCTAGAAAAATGAGGCCCAGGGCACATGAAAATTGTGATAAAATATTTTACCCTAAATTGTAAAAGATAAGCAGTAACTCTTTGAAGGGAGACCACAAAGAAGAAATGCAGCACCTAAAGCAAAAAATGGTTGGTCCAAGAAAGAGATACAGTGTGAGATTGTAGGTTCCAAAAAAGTACCAAAACTATCACAGAAATGAAGTAAAATTGGAGGAACACAGGGAATGCTAGACACTGCAGAAAATTCAACAAGAAACATAGGGGATAGAAATAATAAAACTGATTTAAATGAAATCAGTAAAAACAGCCAAAAATAATTAGATGTATAGACCAAGTAGATACTATATCTGCATAATTGAATCCCTCAAGAAAAAGTAAAGTAGAATAAATATTGAAAGATAATAATTCAAGAAAACTATCCTAAAATAAGAATTATTTTAATATGTTAACGAAAATGTCTTAAAAATTGACCCAAGAAGGTTAACACCAAGACTTACATTATTAAAATTATTATACTTGAAAAATAAAAGAATAATTCTTTGATCAGCCAAACAAAAAAATCACATCACTTTAGGGAAAAATATCAGCATGACTTTAATCCTCTCTATAGTAATATTCAACAGAACAGCATTTTAAATATTTTCAAGGAAAACGTGAACTAAGCATTTTAAATTTAGGTTAATTGTTCAAACTGTGTGAAAGTGAAACACAGATTTGAACATGCAAAAATTGGGGGGAATTGTTCCCATGAGTCTTTTTTGAAGAAACTATTATCATTAATTGCAGCCGACCAATAGATGACTGGGAATGTTAGTTTAGAATACATTTCAACTTTAGAGCGAAGAAATTTGAGGATTAGGACAACAGAACAGGCAGGACAGGATGTAAACGTTGCTTGCTCTCACGATGTAGAAATGAAACAACCGTAATTGAGAGGGGAAAGGAAAAGAAGGTGGGAGGCGGAATAAACTCACTGATGGCCTACTCTCAGTAGCTGGGAGTCAAAGCCCATCAGTTCCAGCAGCCAAATGAAGTCATAGAAGTACAAGCATATTTAACAATAAACTGTAAGAGAGATGAAATTATTGACTAATGTGGGTGGGGGAGGAGAGGAAATATACTAGTTTTAAATATTGCTCATATGAAATTATTATTAACTGGAAACAAATAGAGGAGTATTATGAGCATATGGATAATCATTAGAACAATATTACCCATAAAAAGGAGGGGAAATAAAGCAAACCATATTTGGTTTGTTAACATTTTAAAAATGTAACTGTCAAAACAGAAAGTATACCATAATTGAAGGAACTATAAGTAAACTTATCAATTATATCAATACATGTAAATGGTTTGACTCATCTAATAAAAGTAATTCATGTTTGGGTCACAGAGCTTAAAAGAGATAGCTTGAGATAAAGTAATTACAAATAGTGAAAATAAGAGTATGAGTAAAGGTATATAGGCAGATATAAATAATAGAAAGGAGGGTTTTTATTTTTATATAAAAGTGGAATTAAGGCCAGGAAGAATTAAATGAAATGAAGTGTTAGCTTTTTATTGCTAGAAAATACTATCCAAAATGAAGATAAAATAGTTACAAATATACATGCATTGAAGACCAGTGTATCCATATACTCACAAAAAGGAAT